AGTGTGAAAAAATAGCAAAATATATGTCTTTCTGTGTACCTAGTATAGAACTGTGAATTTTCCTCCTATGGGTTTTAATTGATCCATTAATAAAATAAATTGAAGATGACAAAGTTCCAGAAAAAAATTAAATTTCTAAATAACATAAATAGCTGTGTAGCAACATACAGATTAACATTCTCTTTCCTACTTGCCAAATCTTATCACCAAGAATCAGTGCATCCCAAATTGGGTTATCTGCTTCCTAAAAAGTCATGGCCACACATTCTTGTTTCCCAAATGATACCATGACTTACTCAAAGAGAACCAAGCTAAATCATCTTATAACTTAAATCATCTTATAACCCTTGTCTGTAAACTAATGTATGTTATAAAAGAATGAATATAAATATTTTCCTTAACCTATTTTTTAACAACAGGTAGTTTTATTGGAAAAGGAGGGTAAGATTCATAACAGATGAAAATTTAATGGAATTGGTATAATGCAAGCAAATAGAAAAGGAATGTATTTATTAATGAACAGTAAATAGTAAAGTTTGGAACACAGAGTACATTTTGAGGATATACTGCAACATGAAAGAAGAATAAAAACCAGGTATGATGTACTTTAAAAAGTCTACCTAAAATAATGCTTGTTGGAATTTAGTTATTTTAAGTATTCAGGTTCAACTCATTAAAGAAACTAATGTAAGGTATGTTAGAGTTGCTTTTGCAGTGTGAGTAACTATTGGCAATCCATTTGATTTTTAAGTTCATATATTTGCACTTCTTTGCTTAAATCCTAAGATAAAATGACTAGAAATGATTTCTCATAAAAACAAGAGACTCTTGGAAAATTTTTATATTCATAAAATACCTAGAGAATAATCTTGCAAGTCTCAGCAATAAGGCAAGATTTATTATAATTTGAATATTCTTTTAAATTATTCAATTAAATAGAAATGCCTCATACATACTTGTAAACAAAACTGGCACAATGTAACATGTCTTTGTTCAGAAATTGATCAGGAGGCAGCCAAGGCTTTATTAGTCAGTGTTAAATATATTAAATATATATACAAAGTTTATCAAGGAAAATCATATAAACATTGATTATCATTTTGGTGAGGCATCATTTGGTAATGATATGGTATCAGTACTTGAATTCATACTTGGAGAGTTCAAACACACAGATGTAAATCCTATGTGCTGCCAGTGACTTTTATAAACACTATTATTTAGTTGATATTTTAATACATTCTTGTTATTCTCAGATCTCACTGTCTAAAATGACAGAAAAAAAGAAACTGGTTTAAGTAGCAGGTGGAGAAAATTGGGTAACAAAATAAAATATAAAGGGTTTTAATCCAGTTTGGAAATTAATAGAGGTAAGCAAAAAAGTTATGGGAAGTTCTCCCTGGAGATGTTTAACAGCAAGATAAATGTCCAGCTGTCTAGAATAGTTTTACTGTGGCTTGCCTGGAGGAAGAGGAATAAAATCTGCTAATTTGCAAAATTTCCACAGCATCAATTTCATATTGTCAGGATACTGCCTTGAGCATATTTAGCCAATCCACAAGATTAAAGCAAGTGCTTCCAGTGAAAATCTTCTGATAACTGGAATTTGTTCTGAATAAGGCCTGAATATGTGATAAATCCAATAAACTCGGTACAGTGCATTAGACTAGTCTTTTAGACAGCGCTATACAAAATATCGGCTTGATGCAACTAAAGCATGTATTCCTTCTGTGCAGCCTTACTTCTCTTTTACTCCCTGAATGACTCGAAACACTAGCCATTATGGCACCATGCAGGGTTGTCCAAACTGTAAACGTACACACTGGAATAATAAATAAGACAAAGCACTATGCCTCTCCTTCCCACACTGAATGTTAATAATATTAATAATGTCAATATTTATGGACATTTATTGAGTCATTACTTGATGACATACAGTTACCATTTTAACAATAATATAAATTAAAATTTACTCTCAGTTCTAACATAGTTTACCAAATATCCTTCTTAATTTTTACTGATAAAACTAAACTTCACACAAAGTCCCATGAAATTGAAAATTTTTTTGAATAATGTAGTTTGAACTATTTTTTAATTATAGCAAAATGCTTTTTAAATGTGAAATTTTAGAAAATTGTAACTATGATCTTATTTAATTAAATAAACCTGTAAATGCATTGTGGTGTCTCAATGTTCTCACGGTCTTTCACACTGTTACGTGGAAGGCATTGAGAGTAACAGGAATAAATTGTTCTTTTGATCATCACATCATCATTTAGCACTCACATAGTTTCTTAAGCCCCCTTTCCTCCATAAGAACAGAAACCTCCAAAGTTAAAATCATTTGGATGCCACTCTACTTGGCTTCCTCCATATGCAGATTGCTATGCTTCTTACCACTGTTGCTATTCCGAATTAGTATTGGTTCACCTTGAAAAAAAGGTAATATTCCTTACATCATACACACACACACACACACACACACACACACACACACACTACACACACACACATACCACTGCACTTTAATTTTAATCCTCCAAACCAATCAAAACCCAGAAATCAGTCCTTGCATAGGTCTTAATAAATTCTTACTTTCTCAGTCTGCTTTTACCAGCCACTACTCACCAGTATACAGTATGAGCCAACCTCCTTGAAGATTCCTTTATATTTTCTTTCAGTAACTCTTTTCTAAAGTATTCCCTGATAACTTCAAGCAATCTCAATACTTTTATCTCTTTCTTTCCTCAGTACCTGTTGCATTTAATTTGTTTATAAATCAGGGTCTTGTGTATATTCATTTAGTACTTTCTGATAGATTTTTTTCCCCATTATAGCAGCTCCATGTCTAATTGACCCATGATAGACATGGGTCTATCTGATTGATTACTAATATTGCAAATTCGTTTATGCTCTCCTTACCTCTCTCCTTAGTATAAATTTTTCAGTGCTAACTTCTAGCAGTTGATTAGTGAATACTTGCTGAATGAATACTGTACTATATTTTATAGCATATTACTGTTTTAAGGTTTTTCACATATGGTTTTTCTCTAATAACCACAGCAAATGTAAGAAATTATTATACTGATTTCGTAAAAGTAAGAATTAAGGCTCAGTGAAGTTTACTGATTTGTCACGTTTACAAAACAAAAAAATGGCAAGAGATTCTGAGACAGTCCTAAACTCATCTCACAGTATACATAATAACTGCCTTTAAAATGGTAGAGAGGGGGGATGATGCCGTGGGGAGAAATATTTCAAAAATTCTGCTAAATCAATATTGCTTTCTTCAAAGTACAAGGGCTAGCATTTTACTTTTCTTTTTATCTCTAAACTTTTAAAATCACATTTTTAAGGAATAAATGAAGAGGAATTAAGGAAGAATCCCACCATGACCGGTATCTCACTCCCAAATGCATCCTTAAATATGGGAGAAGGATTACTTAATAGACTTGGATTCCCTAAATATCTTTGCTAAGATTAAAAGCCACCTGTTTTAAGGCTTTAGAGAAAATACTACTGTAAGATTGCAAGTGGCATTCTCAAAGGGTGGTCAACTTTGGCCATTGCTGTCCTTTTACAGAGACATATAGGCAACTCGGGTAGGTGCTACATAGGGATCTTTATGTTGATCAGACATAATATACAGAGGCAGTTCTGAACTCCCTACATCTCTGAATCTATCTGAAGGCTTCCCTAAGTCTTCATTAGAGATTAAAAACAAAGCAAATAACATCTCTTTAACATGTAAACACTCATAAAAAGCTAGGGCCAGGATTTTGACGGCTCTACACGTTTATACCTAGAAGTCTATATTTTTCTGTCTTTACCTATACACTAAAAAAAAGTACAAATTAAAAAAAAGTACAAATTAAAGTACAAATTTAAAAAAAGTACAAATTAAAAAAAAAATTTACATTGAAGAGAGGATGTAGAGGCCATAACTTGTAGCTTTATAAACAGTCCTCTTTGACGAAGGAAAACGTCTGTCTCACTTTCGCTACTGGAGAAATATTGTTGGATCCCACCATGGAGAATTCGGAATATAAGTTAATTCTTAAAGTGCCTGCCCTGTTTATTACTAGCCAAGAAATACTGAATTCCTGATAGTTAATCTCAGCACACAGGGGCCTTTTCCCCCCACATTCCAAACTAATGGAAACGCTACAGAAAATGTTTTACGTTTTAGATTCACGGTGAGTCAAAAACCATCATTTTAAAAGGCTAACAAGGTATTTTTAAAGTTATTAAGATATATATCAATGATATTAGGATTGCCACTGTGATCTTAAATCTGGTATGTAAAGAGCTATCCACACTTACAAAAAACACATCTACACAAGACACTAGATTAAAGATTTAGCAAGGGATAATACAGAAACATAGTTTTCTTTTTCTTTTCTTTTTTTTTTTTTTGCTTTTTAAAGAAGGCTATACATATATTATTTCATAAAGATATAAGAAGGAAAAGATGCAAGAAAAGTATTCACACAAAGGGAAAGACAATTTTCTCATTCTCACACTGTTGGCATTTAATGAAAATGGTGATCTAAAAGCTATTTTAAAAAGCTGTAGCTCTAGGCCACAGGTATCTCTAACAAGAAAATATTATCTACTCTTTCCAGAAAAAAAATATTCTGCATTTCCAATAAACACCGATAACAAGTGAAAAAGGAGCTATTGAAATTAGCTCACAGTAAGGGGAAGAAAATACATTGTAAATACCTTAAAATCAAATAATTTCTTTAGATTTCACAAGATTAATCACAAGGTTTGAAGAATGAATTTGATAACAGCTTCAGTTTCAAGACATCTTCTAAACGAGAATCTCTTCAGATAGCTTGTGAAAACAATTTAAAACTTATTGTTACAAGCTCTCCTAAGGAAGCATAAAGATGTATATAGGCTTTCACCATTTTTTTCCTGACACTTTATTTAATATAAATTAAACTTGGAAAATGGGTAATTTAAAAAAAACAGTATCAATTAGGAAAAATACTTACAGATTTTTAATATCAACTGCCCCACGGAAAGCTTTCCTTGGAACTGCCTGAATTTGGTTTTCACTGAGGTCACTAAAAATAACGAAAAAAGAAAAAAGATCAAGTTATAAATGTTATTTAAGAATTATTTTAATCAATGTGTTTGAAAAGTGATAGGACACTTCCAAGAACAAAAAAGAAAGCTAAAAAAATACTAAAGGATCATAATTAAATCCATAGCATTAGATGCAATTTCTAATACAAATATTTTACATATCTAATATAAATTAAAAAGTTGGACTAAATGGTTTCTTGAAGTAATTTTTCAGATCTTTAATTTCATAATAAATTATTAAATACGGTTCTCTTAAATTTAAGAGTTGATTCACTTCTGTGTAATAAAATATATTTTTTAAAACAAATAGTAAATTGTTCATAACTCAATTTCAAGGGGTTCTAAAGTTTTAGTACTTGATATTTCTCCAATATCACTAACATAACTTAAGAAGTATATAGGAAAGCAGTCCCTTTTAACATCCTAGAGAAGACTGGGCAAAAACTGATAAAACCTGGGCAGTGTGATTAAGTTTTCACAGCACTTTAAGTAATCTTGAAAATGGAACACGGCAGTACTGGCCCAACAATAAAACCCACATTTCTTGCATGAAATATTAGCAGCAGGTTGATTTAGAACCTTCTTTAAATAATTCTATTAAAACCATAAACACAGACTGTCTATATTTGCATTTTAATTTAATCGAGAAATACATTTTAATCAAGGGAAAAAAAGCACTCTTTGAGTTGAAATGAGAGTTTGTAAAAATCACTCATCTCATGAAATGGATCATTATTTTTCCTTCAGCATTCAGATGCAATTCTATAAGCTCACATAGTATTACTAGCCTTAACAAGTAGGATATAAATACACATGCAAGAAATGTCACTGAAAAGAGGAAATTTTAAATAACACTACCACATAGCAGAAAGCTGAAATATCAAATAAAGTATTAAAGTAACAATGAAGGTACTAAAATTATCTTTAAATTCAAGATAACTGATGCTCACAAAGAAAGATGAAGCTACTGACTACGGGTACATGCCTGCCAAAACAGAGTCATTTTCCAATTTTGTGGAGGCATATTGGACGAATTCACCAGCATTCTCTCCCCCAATGTTTCTTATGACCAGAGCTGGTTGCTCACACACTTGTCGCCACACAATAGAGATAACTGGCAGATACAGAGATTTACTGTGTGGTTTTGACCTCATCAGCACCAAGTTTTAAACAAGTGAGATTTGCATTTATATCTCAATATCTGCAATGTTCAAATAAAATATAGTTTGCTAAGCAATTTGTAGAGAAATAATGTTAGCCTAAAGAGTAAAGGTCTTTAGCAAAAAAGCAAAGAAAAACACATACATATTTTATTACAAACAGTGTTTGTAATATGTGCTTATGTAGGAGTTAAGGCAGCCATTCATGTCCTAAGTGAACTGTTATCAATAGCTTCAGTATATCCCTAAGAGTAATAAAACTTCATTTCCTTAAAAATTGCTTATTTCTCCAGCTTGTCATTGATTCAGACTGACTTCCCTCCTTTGTTTAATTACATCGAGTTAAGAAATGTTTAAGAGCATATATTTAAAAGCCTAATGTCAGTAACAGTGCTCAAAGGAGGCTACTGAGCTAGGAGAAGGTAAAGAGAGATACTGGAGAAAGAAAATTCAGAAAGTAATAAGAAATGAGGAGGGAAAAAACTGGATTCAAGCAAATTTAATGCTAGAGCACTCCGAGAAAACAGATAGTGTTTTAATTGTTGTGCCCCTGTCAGTTCAATGTTTTCTCACCACTTATCTTTTTTCCCCACTTCTCCTAGAACAAAGACTGCTTTAGAGACTGTGTAGGTGAATAAAAATGGCAGAGATGTTGGCTTCAGACCTTGCCTGCTTCCCAGGCTCTGCAGTCTTCCCCTCCCACCCGCTAGGGCCATTTCATGTGCCACCTCAGGCACAGTTTTTCTAGGGTCATGGTCTCAAAGAGCGTGAGGGTGTGGTGGGAGGCTAGTCAGGAGGATGACTTCAGGCAGCTCATAGAGACATGGCAAAATCAAGGGAAACCATTCCTTCTGAACACCATTCCTTCTGAATGTGATTTTAGTCCTTTTGACTGCCTCAGGCAGAAGTCTAGGGCATTAGAAGGGTTTTATTCTGCTAACACTTACCATCTTATCTTTTATAGAAGGCTGAGGGACAGTCAGCCTCAGAGCCTCCCTAAGGTCAGTGGCTTATGTGTCTCTGCCCTCCTGAGCAGACTATTCTATGGGGTCTCTGCTCTTGTGCTCTGCTTACTCTGGCAGCCAAATTCAGTTGTGGATCTCAGGTCCCTTCAATTAAGTGGCCAATAATATTCACCCATGACAGGAGGAAGAAACAAGTTTTCAGTACCTGCTATGTACAATACTTAAATTTTTAGAGGTAATATAATATCAAATTTATGTTTTTTAACCCACATGGCCATCTTGTGAAGTAGATATTATTATTATTATTATTATTATTACTATTTGTTATGATTAAAGAAACCAAGCTTCAATGATATTAGGTGCTGAACAATGACGGAAAGTGCTGAAGAATCAGGAGATGTAGAGGAAATCCAGATAAATATTGAGTCAAGATGTGGGGATTTCTAAAGATGACACTGAGGGCTACTTAATCCATCTCAATATGTCCTTCCTGTGGCCTAAAACTTAGGAGATTTTTTCTTAACTCATCCTAGCCTCTGACTTATGTCATTCGCATTTTTGTGTGAAATAAATAGCACAAGCAAGAGTATGGAGGTAGAAAAATAGAACATCTATGGGAGTAGCTTTTGGTCTGGTTTGCTTAGAAGGTATAACGTACAGTGCAGTAATAAGAGATGAGGTTGGAAGGAAAAGTGAGGGTGTGAGGAGTAGACATTCTGAAACCGATTGAAGAGTGTGTTCTTATTTCAGCAGACAGTGGTAGGGAGGGAAGAGCGATGTATGGGAGCAGGACAGATGCTCTTCCTTAGATTAAACTGGCAGTAGAATTTAGGAGAATACCAGGGGTCAAAGACTCAAATCTGGGTAACCAGATACAAGATTTTTATGATAGTTGGGTAAAAAGTAATGAGAATTATGAAGCAACATAATAACCATCAACACATTGCTTGTTTACGCTGGCCTTGTTAATGCATGGGCTCCCACCCTTTAGATAGAAAAGGTACAAGAGATTAAGAGTGGTATCAGGGATGCATGAAGAACCAAAACTTAGAAGTGAATTGTATGTGGATATGGATTAGGCAAAGAAGAGAGAGAAGATAGAAGTCATTTTGAACTTCGATAGAGGAACCATTAACAAATTGGGAAATCAAAATTTACGGTGTCTATTATGAGTTTGGTTGTGGAAAGTTTTCAGTCTCGTTGGAGAGATGTGATTTATATCTCACAGTTGGATGATAACAAAGGTAGTATAGAATAAGTAAAGCATGAGTGGAATCTTAGAAAAGTGATCCAGGAGATCAGAGAAGTAACAGCCATTGGAGGCTTGGTTGATTCAGGCCACCTTCAAAATAGAAAGGGAAATTTTTTGAAATTTGATGAAAATTACTTAGCTCAATATTTCTCATCTTCCAGTGTTGGTATGGGTGGGTGGCAGAAATCCAAGGAGAGAGGAGGTATGCCAGAGGAATTAAGAGCATAGGCTGCAGACCGAGAAGTGAAGTAGGTATTATTATTATCATTATTATTACTGTTTGTTACTATTAAAGAAACCAAGCTTCAGCCATATCAGGTATTAGTGCTAAACATTTATTAACCATGTGACCTTGTGAAAATTGCTTACATTTTCTGTATGTCAGTTTCTTCATCTGTAAAATGAAACAATAACAGTGTCTATATCACAGGACTGTTAAGTGGATTCAATGAAATACTCTTTAAAGCGCTCACAAAGTGACTGGCGCACAGTAATACTCTAGAGGCACTGGTTACATACATATTACAATTATGCTACTAGGAGAATTTGCTCTGTGCCCCTAAGTGTATCTGCTCTGTTCCTTGAAGACCATTGTAGGCAATGTGATATATTACTGATGGGAGTGCATTGTTCTGTGAACTATGTGTATGAGAAAAATGAGTCAGAACTACTGAGCTAGCAGGATAGTGCTGCCAAGGGAAGAGTCTGTAATTATATCACTAGGCAATAGAGTGTAAAAATGTGCTTCCGAGTAGGAAAATGGCTTGATTGGAGTTGATTTTTAGGAAGATTGATCTGGAAATTGAAATTCGGGGCAGGCAGGGACAATGGGCAGAGAATGGCACTGGGCAGTAGTGTGGAGAAATGGTGGGTCCCCAGTGAACTAGGCAATTCTTTTTGGAGAACATTAAATAATAAAGTTGAGAGTTGGAGTTAGGTCCAAATATAAGGTCTTTGATGAAAGTTAAGGTGCTTGTCATCTTGGGGAGAGTTTGGAACCACTCAACTTTTCTGAGGAATGGAATAGCAAAATGCAAAAAGCGTTTGGGGAAAACAAGTGTGATAATTGGGGAGCTGGGATGGAAGACAAGGAGACTAAATTAGCTTTGTAAACTTTTGGACACAAATAAATGGAAAGATATTACATGCTCATGGACTGGAAGAACTAATAATGTTAAAATGTTCAAAGTGATCTACAGATTCAGTGCAATCCTTATCAAAATTCCAATGGCATTTTTCACAGAAATAAACAAACAACCCTAAAATTTATTTAGTCCCACAAAAGAACCTGAAGAGCCAAAGCAATCTTAAGAAAGAAGAACAAAGCTGGTGGTATCACGTTTCTTGATTTCAAGCTATGTTACAAAGTATAGTAATAAAAACAGCATGGTATTGGCAGAAAAACAGAGAGATCAATGGAATAGAGTTGAGAGCCCAGAAATAAATCCACACATATATGGAAACTTAATTTATGACAAAGGAGTGAAGAAAGTACAATGGAGAAAGGACAGTCTCTTCAGTAAATGGTTTTGGAAAAACTGGACTGCCACATGCAAAAGAATGAAAGTGGACCACTGTATAACATCATACATAGACACTCA